TACGCCGACTTCGACCTACTTCCCAACCTCAGCTTACTCCCCTTTCCTCCATCTCTGTTCTTGGACGAAGAAGAACCCGTTCATTCTCCCCACCACGGCCCTCCCCAACATCCCGTCCTCGTCTTTTGCCGCCCCAAGCATCCTTACCACGCCTGCAACGCTCTTCGACTGCAGACCTTTCTACAACGCGGCAAACACAAAACAGGAGGGATGATGGCGAGGGGCCATCCGAGGATGAACTTGGCAAGGGGACTGTAGGAGATTCTGTAGAAAACCCGCCTGACCGGCCTCCACCGAATCTGTGTGGCCTCGCTGCTACTAACATCTGCCTGCAAGCCTATCATCGGGAACCATATACTCACTCTGATTTCTTGGCCATTGCTTCCGATCTTGATGCTCAGGAACGCGAGTTATATGGCGATAACCCGACTCTGCATCCCTCACAGGATAGTAATTACACTCAACATGGGGGATTCAATGTCTCTGTTTTGGAGACTGGTTTGATAAGGCGCCGGCTTGACATGCAGCGTGCCTCTTCGGGTGGCGACCCGGACTACTGTTCGCAGGTTTGTGCCTATATTCTACATGCTCCTGGCCACTACACCGCTTTTGCCCTTGCCTCTCGTTCTTGGGAATTATGGAATGGCGGTGCTATGGTGCAAACTATTACTGCCATTTGTCGTGCGTAATTACCCTAACCTGCAACTGTTCCAGGTCATTGACCCTATGGGTACCTCGTGTACTTCCATGCCCGCCTCTACGCCTATCTCTGTGCCTGCCTCCGTACCTGTCTCTGTGCCTGTTTCTGTGTCCGTCTCCTTCCAGATTACTGACTCTATGGGTACCACGTGTACTTTCGTCCCCGCCTCTGCACCTGTCTCTGTGCCTGCCTCCACACCTGTCTCCATGCCCGTTTTTGTGTCTGTCTCCGTGTCTACCTCCATGTTTGTCACCGTGCCTGCTTTAGTCTTCATTGCCCCACATGCTGCACTAACACCTTGTGACCTCCTTCTTTGTGAGATCACTGACACAGTTACACTTGGTTGTGGAAAGCATCGACTTTGTCGACATCATTACAACCGTATAATTTTTCGGGCCCGCTGTCGCCAGGGATGCCATCTGTATCCAGATTGTGAACATCTTGTACATACAGATGCAATATGTCCCATCTGTGTCTGCGGACGCTCTAGCGAATGTGCACTTAACCATGATGGTGAACGCCCCACAATCATCATGGCCTGCAACCGACATGCCCTATGTCGTGAATGCTTAAGAGGTATGGTCAATGCTAGCCGCCCTGGCTCCTGCTGTGACGGAGTTGCTTACCTGAATGGTTTTCGTCCTGTAGATCAGCGGGAGGGCTGCTACCATCGCCCACATCCTTAAGACAGTTGTCCTATCTGTCGTGAGGGTCTTACTTAGACGTACCTTGCACCCTGACAAAAATGTGCAGGTGCGCTGAAAAGAGTGTACAAGAATGTGCAAAGGTGGGGAACCCTTCACTAAAMCTGCAAAACTGTGAAGAATGCAGTAAAAGAAGAACATAAGTTTGTGTCATCTTACTTTGTTTGTACCCTGCACCCTAACACCCTCAAAAGAAAAGTCCGAAGGGTGAAAATGAAGATGAAAAATGAAGAAGGAATTGCAGGTGCGCTGAAAAGCGAACGTGGTAGACTCTTCACCAAAACTGCAAAACTGTGAAAGAAAGAAGACGTTTGGGTCACTTTTTTTATTTTTTCTCCCCCTGCCTATCGGTTTTCCTTTTCTGCTCCTCTCGTCCTTGTGTTTAACACCTCTTCCTTCACTCTGCCTCTTTCCCATAGCGTGCAAGTGGGCTGTTATGGCATACGGGGATGGGGGCAGCTCGCGCTCAACTTATCAACGTGGCGAGCCTTGTACGCTAGGCATAGTGGAGGAGGCGTTAAGAAGACTGAGAAACTGAATGATTTTAATGCGTCTTTGTTTTTTATTTTTATCCTTTGATTCAGTGTAATTTTTTTTTGTAAAACACTGAAAGAAATAATAATACTGTGAAACAAAGAATAAGAGGACACTGTTTTGTGTCATTGTGGTTTGTCTGTCTCTTTGCCTCTGTCCTTTCATTTTTCTTTTCTTCGCTCATCTTATTTCTTCTTCTACTTAACGTGCTTACGCTCAGTCAATAGTTTTGTGACAATATATATAGTGGGTGAGTGATAGTCTGCTTTGATTTTCGTCATAGGTACCTTGAGGGCAGTGGTTGGTGCCCACCTCAGGGTGTCAGTTGTCGGGCAGTCGTTGATGCTTAACCACACCCGGGGTTAAGGTGGATTATCACTTATACTGTAATCAGTTAGGGAATTCTGCAGACTGTCGAGGGTTCAGCCTCCTGATGAGTCGGTGAAACTTCAACAAAACAGTTTGTCACAGCCCCTCGTTTGTTGTCCTCTTCTCCGTATCTGCCTAACGGTTTACGTCAAACAGTATATAACATACATGCGGCGCATCACGTGCGGGCGAGTTGGGCACGTGCGGCGCATAGAGCACGCGCAAATATGCGTGTGCATGTGCTGCGGCGCAAGTGCGGAAACAAAAAAATAAGAAAGGCAGTGGGAGCAAAACAAATCCCACCCTTCTGAAAATTGCAAATGCACAGAAAGAAAGAATTTGGGGCCACATCATACTCCTCATTGGATCCAGTCTCTTTTCCAAAGGGGCCCCAGAGGAGAAAAGTAAGGATCCCATTTCTTTGGAGAGACATTCATCAAATTGCAGCTAGGACACGAGCAGGCCATCAATATATAGTCTGGATTCGAATTCAGGTCTGTGTTCCGGAAGTTGTGGGTTACTAGCTCGCGACTAATACTACTGTAGCTCTCTCTTTCTTTTTGTTTTTCCTTTTCTTACGTGCAGTGCCCCTAAGGGCCTCACTCCACCAGTCACGACTTGCACAAAAGAAAAGACGTATGGCGGCGTATGGTTCCATGTTCTAGCAGAAGATTCATGCACATTTGGTGAGTAGTGGAGTGAAGACCTGGAAATTACGTGCTGAGTTAGGAAGTTAAGCAACCCATAACTGCTGAAACACGGACCTGAATTCGAAGCTGCAGCATATATAGTTGGGGCTGCTGCTACCAACTTATGAGTTCTACGTCTACCTCTTTCTTGGCGAGGGAAACCTTGCTAGTTAAGGGGGGGGGCTTTCGGAATATGGACAGGGGTACTCTGAATAATCATTCAATAATGTGAAAGAACTTCAAAGAACTCTTTGCTTGCCCTCTCTCTCTCTCTCTCGCGTGCACGTGTATACACATATCATGACCGCTTTTTTTTTGCACATCAGCGATCAGCGCACTGCACACATGCACCGCAAGTATGGTGTATAACGGTATGATCTTGATACTGTTTAATACCTCGACTGTCGGCGCCCTTTGAACGAGACAGAGAGATGCCAACCAGTCAAGGGGTGCTGACCGGTCCGGTGGTCGGCACCTACCGGTCAGGGGTCAGCACCTAGCCAAAAAAATTTAAAAAATAATAATAAAAAAAAAAATCGTACTGTTGTATACCCCGACAGTCGGCGCCCCTTCAAAGCGCCAGAGATGCCCCGACGGTCGAGATGGAGTGCGATGCAGTAAAGGTTTGACCTTCATACTGTTGTATACCCCGACTGTCGGCGCCCCTTGAAAGAGACCAAGAGAGAGGGAGAGAGAGAGACGCCGACCAGTCAAGGGGATGCCCTACGGTCGGCGGTCGGGGTCGGCAGTTGGCAGGTATGCAACCCTGTATATGTATGTATATATTGTCACATATCTATGAACTAAAAGGGCACACTTCGCGAAACGGACAATAAAAGGTACAGAAGACAAACATGAAGAGCACACCGAAACCACTCATTTTTATCATTCTTCTTTTAACTCCCCCTTTACTGTGCCTCTCACGGACAAGGCAGAGGCTCGCCAGCACTTCCTTCGTTCGTGCTCGTCACGTTGTATGTGGCTAGTATCTAATGAGCACGTCCCACTGAGGTTTGTCTATGCATGGATTATGAACTCTGATGCCAACTATCAGCAGTTACACTTTAGCATCTACTTGCCATTGCCAGATTTGTCATTTATACACAGCAACAAAGATGAAGACATAGCTCAACGGCGCCTGCCCCTAAGGGACCCCGCACCATCGTGCTTCGGTAGAATAATCAGAGTGGCTGGTCCACTCTACAGAAGTGGATGAAAACAGGTAGAGGCCACAGGCAACCCATGTGTGAGCTGTTTGGCAAACCATTTGACACACAAGAACCTAATAGACAGAACCATGAAATGCAACATGCATCAAACACTCGCCATGATCATGCCATATTATATTTAGCCTACCCTGGCCCCAACCTTGCCAAATTGATATTAAGGATTATTAACCATTTTGCCATTTTGGACAGTGTTGGACC